AGCTTTTATACCTTTTACAGGCATTTTGAGAAATAATTACTGAATACAGAACCATGGTAAACCTTTTTTTAAAAACAATCTTAGCATATGGTGCATCATTTAGCCATAACTTGTCGTCAATTGTTCTTCATTTTTAATGTTTTGTAGCATAGGCCATTAGAAATGTGGCCTGTCATTTTCAATTACACTTTTTTTCATGAACTTAGATTTAAAAGTATGTTGTACACATCTTACTCATGATGCCATTGCATTACCATTAGGATATCAGCATTCAATTACAATCCAAAGCAACATTTACAAATAGGAGCAAAATGGCATTTAAAAAAATCACATTACAAACTGTAGTGTACATTTCACATTTCATTAGGCAAGAGAGGTGCCTATTTTTAAATTCTGCTTAGAATTATTTACTTTATTTTAGTTTATTTTCTCTGTGGCTTATATTTCCGTATTCCAATACAGACATTATCATCACTTAGTAATAGACTCTATTAGCAAATTATGAGAATCATCATTTGCTAATAGAGCTTGTGGACTCTGTGTTTTTCTGTGTTTGTATTTAGGGTAGACAATCAAATCTGCCTCTGAGATTGACCTGAATAAGAATGAATGAGTCTGAATTCTGATCTTGAGGACCCAAGTTCAAGTACTGCCTAAACTGATATGAAAGTCTCCTCCGTTGTTGACTGCATAGGAACCTATAGAAAATGGATCTGGAAAGTGTCAACTCAGTTCCTGGAGAGCAAAAGACCACAGCATAGAACCCTTTCTCATGTGGCATTATCTTGGGGTGGACAGCTGGTGTGCAGCAACATTTTGATTCAAAATATCTCTTTGCCAAGGTCCCTTTTACATGAAGACCTGGATTAAGCAATTTGTAATAAGTAAACTGGTAATGGACTTGTACCTCCAGAACATGAAGGTAATTGGCATATTGCAATTTGTCCTGAATACAAAACAAAAAGTTACATTTGTATAGTGCATTTCACGTGGGGAGGGGCTGGAATAGGTCCTTCCATACACTGAAAGCAGATTTAGAAAAAAACTCTTGAGAGTTGCAACAATAGCTGCTGGAAGCCCTAATCTAGAGTCCTGATTTGTGAACACACACTTAAATATTCAGTGCATTTTGAACCTACCTTGATTGCTATGTTTAGATCAGTAGCTGCTGCTGAAGCTTCACACATCCACCCCTCAATACAGGAGAGAGATATAATAATAATAATATTATATGAGAGAGATAGGGATAAAGAGCTAATTTGGCCCCTTGATCTAATTCTTCCCGAATTCCCAAATTACAATCTTCTCATACCAGGCAGGGTGTGTGTCTTGACTGTGGAAAGGAGGATAGTAGCTGTATTTGGATGCATGATATGCTGAGCTGTGGTACTCATCCAAGACTAACAAGATAACTACAGTCTCTTTGGAGCTGGGTTAGCTCCAAGTTCACATTTGTCAGGCAATGGAATATTTGAATCAAGTTGACCTTCTGTGGTGATCTAGTTAATCCGGTTCTTGAGTCAGGCAGGTCTACAGTACTCAAAGACACAGTTGATGATGCACCATCCAGCCAAGCTGTTAGACGGCTTCAGAAGTGCAAACCAGTCACTGTGTGTTGGGATTGTTCCACTTGGCTCCTGTTAACCTTGCAAGGCAAAACCCTAACAGGTAGGGTGATCTTAACTGGACAATCAATAGGAATCTTGTTAGTGTTCACAATGGTAAGCTGTGCAATTTTAGCCTGTTTAACTCCAGCAGTACCTCAAAGAATGCTCTGGAGTTCCCATTTCTTGCCAACCTGAGTCTCAGAGATCTGTGGGATGAGGTAAACAGGGTGTGTCATTTGATGAAAGGGTGTTCCCTCCATATAACACAAATGAAAATTTCCGTACACATGTAGAACTCTCAGTAGTTTGGCTTTGGATGTTTCTAAGATTGATTTTTTTTGTATGTCAGATATCTGGCTGATTAAACCAAAACGTTTCTAAACTTTCATTATAATTATACAATACATACAGTACTACAGTTTAAACAGAGCCAGTTAGTAACTGCACAAATACGATTTCCAGATATTATAATCAAAATTGTTGCAGGCAAAATATTGTGACTACAAATGAATAAATACACTGGATATCAAAATGATTTTTTGCTACAATTTAAAGGCAAATACCAATTTTATTATTAGCAGTTTTAATATTCTTGGTTGAAATTCCAATTTGTTGACTTCAAATAAGCTTTAGAAGAATAGGTGCTGAACAAATATCACTTGCATGAATATTAAACATTCTTCCAATCGGATCTCCGTTAAAGCAAATCATTGCACTGCATTTTAAATTCAGTTGCCAGGTCACAGAACCACATTATGCAAAATGAGTTGTAAGATTAATCATTCAGAGTACTAACTGACTACATTGTACTCAATAGAAAAGATTCACTGCAATACATGTTGTATTAACTTGGGACAGACAGTTCTACTAATAATGGTTTGTTAAAGTCATTAATTATTGCAAACTGGAATGTGGATATCCACTGCAAAAAAATTGATCATCTCCAATGTGCATAGTAATAGTAACTGTATGAATATTGCCAGAAAGCAGAGCAAGTCAAAATACCTGTTGATGTATTGCTTCAATAGTTTGCAGAATATTAAATGAATAAAGATAAGCAAAAACTAATGCAATTAATTGTGTAATATAACAAAGGAACATGTTGTAACCCTGAAACATGTCTAATCTTTAAAGTTCCGACTAAACTTCACTCTCTGGTACCTCCCTACTTCTACGACCTCCTCACTCCTCATTCCACCACCCAGAGCATCCGCTCGACTGCCACTGGCCTCCTGCTCGTCCCGCGCACCCTCCGCCCCACCGTTGAAGGATACGCTTTCAGTCACTACGCCCCGAAACTCTGAAACACTCTCCCTCAATCCCTTTGCCTTGTCCACCCTCTTCCCTTTTGCAAGTCCCCGACTAAAATCTTTCCTGTTCGACCGTGCTTACGGCACTTCCACCCCACCCCCCGGCTCGGAGTCAGACTCCGCAAATGTTAAGCGCTCTGAAACGTTACCCTGTGTGCAGGGCGCTATATAAGTGCAAGGTGTTGTTGTAAAGATTTGTAATCTTTAGAGTTCAAACAAAGCATGAAAATAGAGAAAAGCATTTCCCTCACAGAGTAGTAAATATGTTAATCAATCGTCTAACAAAAATATTTGAAGCTGAGTAGATGAATGTCCTGAAAAAGGAGCTGAATACGTTTAAATCTGGTTTAGAATGTATGAATAAGTGAGCTTGGGACTAAGGTGGGTAATACATTGTTCTTTCATTTGTGGGACCCATTTCAGTCCCAACTAATGGGATGGATATCTCCTCTGTCTGTTGGGTATAAGAAGAACCGACAGTCCATTGAGTCTATTGTAAGGTTTGTTCAATCGTGTCAGATCTTAATCCCATTTCCTTTGATACTATTACTATCTATCTGTCATCTTTTAAGCATCTCAGTTTATTCTGCCTGTACGACCTGTACGACCTCTGGAACAATGAATTCCGTATTTTCACAACCTTCTGTGTGAAGAAATATTTTCCAATTTTCATCCTACATGAGATAAATGTGGTAAAATTCAACTTGGTTCCAAGTGGGTACAAACTCATAGCACAAAAATGCCCTGCAATCCCTATTGTGAATCCATAGATATCTGCTTGAATTTAGCTGAGCCTTCCGTCTTCACTTCACTCAAACACACTTCTCACTGGTCTCCCCAGTTCCACCATCCACAAGGTCCAGCTCATCCAAAACTCTGCTGCTTGCTTTAATCCCTCTACCTGACCCCCTATCTGTCTGTCTGTCTGTCTGTCTGTCTGTCTGTCTGTCTGTCTGTCTGTCTGTCTGTCTGTCTGTCTGTCTGTCTGTCTGTCTGTCTGTCTGTCTGTCTGTGTCTGTCTGTGTCTGTCTGTCTGTCTGTCTTTAAATCCCAGTTTAAAACTTAACTTTTTGACTGCACCTATGACCTCCTCCTCCTCCCTCTCCTTCCTTGTTTGCATCCAAGGGCATTATATAAATCCCAGTTGTTGTTGTAACATAAATCTTCAAGCTGAGATGTGTTGCCCACTGGGAAGCTCACAGGGAGTTCCTGGTACCTACCGTTCACTTATTAAGGGCTCAAACCCACACTTGACGGATGTCGAACGACCAATTAGTGACTATCCTCCTTGTTGGCATGCATGGGGGGAAGTAAGTGGGGTTTCCTTGGCCCCAAGGTGACATGTTTGGCAATGGAATGCTGAAGCTGATTATAGCACATTATTATAGCACTGGCTCATCGGCAGGATTTGGAAAGGCAGACCAGTCTCTGGGGGCAAGGAATCATCCCATTAAGCTCCTGTTAACTCTGCAAGCCAAAGTTCTCCCAGGTAGGGTGGTCTTAGCTGGACAAGAAGCGGGAAAGCGGGGAAGATTTATTTTTTGTAAAATTGGAGAATTTGGTACTTCTACGGCTAAGTCCTTATCACTAATTTGAGATTAGTTGGGCATTTAGTTGGGGTATTTGTATTGCTTAATGATATGATGGCTGGTCAAAACATGATGACTCGTCTTCCGTAGTTGTTCACTGTTCTGTGCTATGCATGTGGTCCTTTGGCATTGCAGCCAGTAATTGTGCATGGCAGGTTAGGACTTTGGTTTCCGTGATTGTCTCACATAGAGCAGTGCGCTGCTTCAAAGCCGGTGCAGGCAGTGAAGGCTCACCTTCACTCCCCATGGGATCAGACATTCCTCGCCCTCTCCGCATGATCTTTCCTCTCTCAGCCTCCTCAACCCCCGCTGCCATGCGCAGTGACGTTGATGTTACACCCCGGGAGAGAGGATGCGGGGAGTGTCAGGTTGAGTATGCGTGGTGTTCCATTCAGGTAGGCGCGGGAAACAAAGTTTTGACCGACCGACGATAACTTAGGTAGCGGCAAGTGCGGTAGTGGCGTTATGAGTTATGCGATTGTTGAAGAGACTAGTGCAGATAAATGAAAATGCATTTAATAGGAAATTCAACAGGACTTGGGTAATTGTATGACTATGGCAATTATACAATTTATACAGATAAGACTTTTGTGAATTTTACTGTAATATTCACTTAAGAAAACAATCATGCAAATTGTGTACTTGGTCATTGGTGCACAGTGGCATCCCAAAGGTCAGCTTTGCTGAGTCCGATTGTACAACACGCCAGTCTCGCTCCAGAATTTCCATGCAGAAGGCTTCCCTCATTACCACCTGTGCCGAGGTCATCCTCACCTGCGTGTACTACCACCGCACGGCCCAAAATCGAGCGAGATCCAAATAACGTCACTTGGAGGTTAGAGAGACTCTGGACAATTTTTCCAGATTTGGTTGCAAAATTGTTGAAATCTCCAGGGTGAAGTGGGTGGTTCACACCATTGGGGTTGTAGTGAGGACCAGTGGAGGTGCAGCCATCGGTCAGATCTCCGAACTTATGGACGTGAATTGCATGCAAACTTTGGTGCCTTAGAAATCCGCTCAGGTTGATGAAGCCTTCCACAGTGCTGGTTGGATGGTCTTGCTTGAAGAGAACACGTCCTGTTATAGCTGGTTGGTCAGATCTGAGTGTGTTGCTTGGATTCACTGTACACACGGCATACGTGGGCTGGTTTCTCTGGGGTCTTAATGGGTGAAGCAGATGGACAGTTAAATCATTAATCCTCTTCCTATTGCAGTGGTTGGTAAGGCAACACTCTGATTCATCTACAAATAGCTGCACAAAAGCCACCAGTAAGAGCAACAAATTCAATGCTGAGCTTTTCATGATTGATTCGGCTTCAGTGGCAAATCTTCTTCTTAGATGTAGACAAACTGATCGCTTCTGTTTGTGTTCAATAGCAAAGTCTGAGTCCAGGCTCACTGTCTCTGGGTAATAGGTTTCATACAATTTAACTTTGAGATATGCACACTGCACTTTGATTTGTTTGCGCTTACACAACTGCTTTTGTAACTTACAGTTGTTTTTTCCAGAAATTCCAAAAGATCTGTACTGGGGTTTCACTAAAGGGAGAAGGGGAAACCACAAGAATTAAGCAGTTTTTGTTACAACTGGTATTTATATAGTGCCCTTCAAGTAACATAGCATCTCCGAGCACTTCACAAGATTACAGTCAGACTCCTAGCAAAGGGTAGGTGACCACAAGCATGGTTGAGTTAGGTTTTTAGGATTTAAAGACAGATAAAGAGATGAAATGGAGAATATGGGGAGTTCCAGAGATTAGAGACACAGTAGCTGAAGGCTCACCCATCATTGGTGGCACTGAGGGAGTGGGGACAGGCCTCATTTAGCCCAGTGGAGAGGGTGAGCAGAAGAGTGGGATAGGTGATCACTGACATAGGGAAGTGAAAGGATTTATAGGTCATGGTGAGGACTTTGAAGTCGATCCACTAGGAGCCAAGGCACCAGTGGAATCTGACAAGGACTAGGATCATGGCCATGTGGGGTTTGGTGCAGTTGAGGATGTAGGTGGGGGAGTTTGGGATTAGTTAGAATTGATGGATTGTAGGACTAAGAAGACCAGCAAGGAGTGCATTTGAGAAGTCAAGCTGCAAGGTAACAAAGGTGTGTATGAGGGTTTAAGAGACACCTGGTGTAAGAGGAGCGCAATATTGCAAAGGTGACAAAAAGCAGCCTTGGTCGTGGACTGATGAAAGGAAGGAAACAACTGCCAACGTTCTGAACTAGTTCATTTTATATAGTTGTAATGGCCAGAGCACAGCGATATAATCTTACACAGTGACTCGTGCCAGTTTGACAGGTTTATATTCACGAATGATAAGGAACTTGAATATTCAGTAGGAAGGAAATAGAATTCTTNAAAAAAACTAGTCCCAGCCAGCTGAAAACATAAAACAAACTAATTAAAGTGCTGCTGGAAACCTCCAACCTTCTGTGCAAATGTTAAAGCACAAATAGTTTCATAATTGTAATATTTGTGAAACATCTGGCTCCGAAAAATCCAAATTGTTTTAAATCTCAATGCTTTTTTTTTGGTCAGCCAGGTGTCTGATACATGAAGAAACCTATCACCTTGCTTAAGAGTATCCAAACCAACTGGGAGTTCCATACATGTCACCAACATATGAATATTTGGTTAGAATTTAGCTTGCATTGAAAGCACTGTATGGCAAGGTTCCTGCTGCTTGTCCAGCTGGGACCAGCATACTATTAGGACTTTGGATTTGAAGGGATATCTCAACATGTGTGATTTTCTTAATGTCATACACTTCTTAAAATGTCAGATCTTATTGAATTTTGGCAAATCCTTAAATTCAGTCTTGATTTTGAAGCTAATTTTCAGCAGCTCTTTATAAGAACTAAATAAATTGGCTCATTACCACATCACATTCCCTCTTGCTATTTCTTCCCTGGAGTGAGTTACAACCTTGAAATATTCCCAACTAATTGTTTTTGTATAACATTAATCTTATACATTGCCCTTCTAACACAACAAAGCTTTTCACTCATATTCATATACCATCTTTTACGTAAGAATAAGTGTCTCAAAGACTTTTATTTGACACAATTAATCCAAAATAGAGTGAATGTTGATGAAAAAGCAAACACAGCAGTTTAATTTATCTGCTTTAGTCACATGAACACATCTCTAAAGTGTAACGACTGTATTTTGTAGGCAAATGTGACAGTCAATTTTGCACATAGCAATGTCCCACATACAGCATGACCAATTTTATCTGAGAGATTGTTGGCTAGGATATCAGGTGAAATGTATTTTGTATTAGGAGGAGAATATAAACCAGGATAATTGGGAAAAAGATTCCATTTTTCTTTGAATGGCAGCCAGGCATTCCCTTCATATCAAAGCCAAACAGAACCTAAAATTAATAATCAAAGATTGGGATGATCATATGGAAATAATAAAGTATATGTGACATAGAATTTTATTATTCAGTTACATGCAGCAGGTATGATCTTCTGCCAGCAACATCCAACAAAAAGTCATTGAGACTCTGTATTTTCTACCAACACTGTACTAATGTTTTTACTGCATCGGATAACATGAACAGGCAGACTTTTCACAGCTTTGTGTTGGTGGCCTGACCGTAGGATTAGGACGGCTGACAAGTCTCAATCCAGGCATTTGCAAGTTTTATCAGGATTGTTAAAAACAATGAGTTAGGTAGCAAGTAGTAAACCTTTAAATATTTCCACAACATCCTACCATAAACATGTTTTTTTTAATAAAAGTATTGCATCCAATCATTCAACAAAAATAGATTATTGTTATTAAAAAAAGTATGATTATTGGTGCTTGATGCTCTCGAATACCCTCTCTCACCATACAGGAGCCTCTCTGCATTCCACACCGATGATCTTCGGAATAGGTTTAATTTTATTTCCATCATCAAACAATATCCATGGAAAGAATGTGACCTGCAGACTGATTCACAGATTGTAGATGCAAACGATCACAAGATTAATTTGGGTGAAGAAGGCTGTTCAATCCATCTGATCTCATCCTTCCCGAATGCTCACCCTACCATCCTTCCAGCAGAGCAGCTAGACGCTTTTTAAATGACACCAGTGTTCTGACGTCAACCAACCTTCCTGGCAACCCGTTACACCACATTAATGCTGAGAGCAGCCATTGCAATAGGTCGCAGCGATTAAAAAAATGACCCAGTAACCAGGGAAGTTTGGACTGGTGAAAATAGGTAATTTGGGAATATGCATAGTTAAAAATTGCCCAATCAGCTTTTTTTTTAGCCTCCGTGTTCTTCTGGTGTGACTAAATTAATAAATATAGTACTAGCAAATTTGGGCCTTTTCAATCTGCTGGAATAGTCAGAGTGGCTCAGTGCCAAAATAATTTCTTTTTCCCGAAGGAAACACAATCGATAAATATGGCTCTTTATTGTGCTAATGTACCAATATTAATTCAAACATACTATGATATTACCCATCTCCAGTCTATCCTGAAAGCAGTAACCTTCCAGCCCAGGTATCATCTTTGTAAACCTATGCTGTACTCTCCATTGCTGCTAATATCCTTCTTGTAGTGTGGAGACCAGAATTGGGCACAATATTCAAAATGTGGTCTAACCAAGGTTTTGTATTAATTTAACATCACTTTTTCACTTTAATATTCTATCCCTCCAGATATAACACCCAAGACCCATTTTTTTTTACATAGCTTTCTCTATCTACATAACTACTTACAGAGTTTGCAGATCTGAATCCCCAGATCTCTTTGCTCCTCTAATCCTTTTAGGTTCCTATGATCTAAATCAGTGGTGGCTAACCTTTTGGTCAGCCAACCAAATAATTTTTTTTCATTGAATTTTTTTTCATTTATGACCTTGCCATGGGTATTACGGCTCAGTAGTTACTGGAAACAAGGTATTGATTAGGCGCTGACTTGTCTGGACTGGTGTGAGTATTCGGCAGGCCACTTACTGATGCCCCACAGGCCACTGCACTAGTCTAATCCAATGGCCTGCAGAAATATTCAAGAAATATTCAATCAATCAAGAAAAAAATGAAAACACACAACTGATCGACCACAGACTTACCTAGACTTGTGTGAAGTTTTGGGGGGCTACTTCTTGATGGCCCCGCAGGCCACAGGTTGCCGCTCTAGGTAAATATCAATAGGTGTCTGAAAGCGGGGAGCTGAGCAAATTCTATCCGCATCCGAAAACTACATGAAAGCTACATCATAACCACTATTGCAGGAGCCCTGATTGATTTTTCCATTTCATAGGCCTGAAGTTCAATGATAAAATAGCATGTTTAAAGGATCCTAGAGTTGGTTAAAATAGAAAAGCGCATGCCCAAATGAATTATGAAGTACTTAAGAGATCTTGGTCTGACACCAGTGAAGCAACTACGGATAAATAAAACCAAAGAGGATTCTTACACGTTGAAGGAAATAAATATTCTGGTCAGATAACATTTTATGGAGCTGCGTTTTGTGCTCAAAATAAGAAATGCTATTTCTGGAAGTGAAGCGTTCTTCCAATTTGGCCACCCTGTGTTAGTATTAAAGGAAATCTAGAATGGAAATTAGTTTTTTTTTAAAACAAATCAATACTATGAGCTATCATATTAGACTCAATCATGTTTTATTCAAACATTTTAATTTTAGAACTTTCATAAAGTTGTTTATTTTTTGTTAAAAAGTGTTATTTCTGGGTGGGACTTTGTAATACCGCAAGTGATTAGTATTCTTAGTAATTCCCCTGGTCTCCTGGCCAACAATCCCTCAGAAAAAAATGATCATTCATGTGATGGCTGTTTGTGGAACATTGCTGCCTGTATATCACCTGCCCCATTTACCCACATGTACAATAAAATCATGTGCTTTGTGCCATCATTCTGACACAAAATTGATATGAAATTCTACACAAAATGCAAAGGTTATTATTTATTATGTGCATTTTTCATAGAGAATTGCGCACTCCAAACATCTGTGTAAAGAAATGTTGTCTTTCTCTAGATATCCAAAGGCAGGGGACAAAGTGGCTGAAATTTGTGAGGTTGATGCTGCCAAAGTCCAAGGCAAGAAGGTATTGACTGGTGCCTAGCAGGAGAGACTCCGACTTGTAAACATTCAACCAGAGAAAGTTAGAGATCATAAGGACTCGATTTCTGACAGTGCAGTGATCTGACTTCTGACTTCATAACTGTAGTGGTCATGGAATCAAGGAGAAAGAGAAAGTTGGGTGTCATCCTCATTGATATGATGGAGATGGAGGAAGGTGAACTTAGCCAGAACCTGGAGAGTTCGAGGTCAAACAATATTTTTGAGGTCACAGGCTGCCCAGCTCCATGAGTTGGAGTGAGTAATCAATAACAACAACAACAACAACAAAAAGATTACATTTGTGTAGCGCCTTTCACGTCAGGAGGACGTCCCAAGTC